TTTCATCTACTCTTAAATTCTTAATGTCTTCCATACTGTTATTTTGATCGTTTATACTTTGACCAATACCCTTTATAAACATATTGTTTATATTGTTCTTTTTCAATTCCTAAATGTCTTCTTCCAACTTTTCAACTTTATCTATTACTTCAAGCAGTGCTTTATGTAATAGTATTGGAACTTTTGTATATTCAATACCTAAATATTCACGACTGGTATGAACTACATTTCTACTTTCTGGTGGAACTGCTTTTAATAAATCATCAGCGATATCCTATATGAATGTCATCTTTATCGTTTCTATCTTTTCTTTTGAACTTTCTAGGATTAAATTTCTTAATCATATTAACAAAATGACTTTTAAGCAAATCTACATCGTATTTCAATCTGACATCAGAATTGTCTATTACAGAACCATTTATGGTTACAGTTCCAGCAGTAATATCAATAGCATCGGCTGAGGCATCTTGAATATCATTGACAAATGTTTTTTGTATTAACAACTGCTACATTTTGATTAAATGTTGATGAGGCATTATTTGTAACACGTCCAGTATTTACTGTCGTTCGAAATGTCTTATCAATAGATCATAAAACCGAAGGTCTAGTTGAACTATCTGACACTCTAAACGCTGTGTTTGATGTTCTGAATATTACATCAATTGTAGATGAATTAGCTCCATCATAATAAGTTGATTTTTCACTTGTTCCGAAAAACATATCTCTTCTCGAGGGTCCAACCAGAATCCCTGCTCCATCTTTTCCTCCTCCGCTGCCCCCTCCAAGTCGACCAAGAGTGAAGAACATGGGCTGCTCCGAGACGAAGTAGGCCTTTGATCCCTTGTCTCGTCCACCTTTACCTTTTCCTCCTTTTCCAGCCTTTTGACCAAGACATTCACGAAGTCGCCGGATAAGAACCTCGTAGACCTCGTCATCTCCTGACGCTCCAAGGTCCGACTTCTCGTCTTCTTCAACTTCCTCAGCCTCGTAGGCACCATAGTGGTCGTCATAGTCTTGTGCATCTTCTTCACTAACGCCTTCTTCTTCCTCAGATTCTCCCTCATTGACCATCTCCGTGCCCTCGGCTAAGTGCGCGTAGTGCCTCTTCTGCCTTCCATATCCTTTGGGTCTTTCATAGCCTCCCTTCTGGTGCTTCTCCCGCTCGTGGATATCAAAGACGCTCGTAGCTGGAGTTGTTGTTCAGCAGGTTCTGCCTTCTCTCTTCCCGCGACAAATTGCACTTCTTGAGGGTGAAATAGGCCAAAAGGTCTTCGCTCATCCGGGTCTGATCATTTAGATCTTGAAGGTCAGCCCAATTTTGCTCAACGTCCTCAAGTAGACGTCCAGGACTCCCTTCTTCCGGCCTCGCTCGAAGAAACGGTCAAACTGCTTGGTCTTCTTCACCACAGTCACCTTCTCGATTTGAACACAAGCATGTAGCCATCCACTTCCTGAAGTTTGGGAAAATCATCCGTCAGCGACTGGCAACACCTCCATGCTTCACCATGCAGAGCATCCAAGAATCGCTTAGCAAACCTCTTCTTCAACCAGATCTCTCTGCTCTTTCTCCTCAGCGTCGCCGTCGCCCTCGAGCATGTGGTCGGCAAACAAGGCTCTCTTGCGACACTCTCTCATGAGCTCCGGCCGGGCACCTGTGTAGTGCGGGACGCCATCTCGATCCACCACTATCTTTTTTGTCCTTCCAGAATACATGTCCATTCGCAGAGGCCATGGCTCCAGGCGCTCCGCTACCAGCGCGAAGCACGCGCTGGCAGCGTCGCGGCTGTTTTGACTGCACCCGCACAAAGCTCAAACGTGTCCAACGGTTGTTGACATGAAATGCTATGCGTGCGGCGGTGGCTTCTGTTTGTTTGTGGCCACCACGGTTCCGTGCGCCATGCTCATGCAGACCGATCGCACTCCATGGGCCATGGCCGTTGCTTGGGACAGCTGGTTGTGCCCGGTCAGGCGAATTCCATGCTCATCCATGCTGCATCCCCACGAATCTCACAACCTCTAACAAAACGATATTTCAGCTCCCCAAAACCTTATATATATTTTTAACCGAACAAGGTGGAACACATTTTGAAGAGCAACATGAGCAACATAAAAACCAGAAAAGGCAACCCTCAACAGGCCACCCCTCAGACCCCCTACTTTTACCATTTTTCGGGGGTGGGATGGGGGAAACAGGGAGGGCGACGGGGAAAGGTGCCATGGCCCAAACCACACCTTTCCAGCAAGAGAAAAGAAGAACGTGAGAGGAAAGCTGAACTCTGCTCAAAGACACGTGCGGCACTAGACCACACGTGCATCCGCGGTCGCTCCTGCTTCCCCGCAGCCAAAGTTTGAAAGGCCGTCGGCATCGGAGGCGCTGGATCGCGGAATCACCTTGGGGAGCTGACAAGTTGTCAAGCATCCCCTATTGGGAGCTTTAAAGAACATGTTTTCTTGGAATGAATGTGTGGCTGCGAATGGGATCTGCAAGTCCTAAAGGTTGGCTGTTCATTGATGAGGGCTAAGTGTCCGAAATATGGACCCTAGTGCCCTCCATTCTTACGGTATCCACAGGTCCAAAACTTGGGAACCTTTGCAAACTCGGGCTGTCCTCAGACCCCCTGCAAAAAGTTTAACTTTTAGTGGATTAAACGGAACCCCCCACTTAACCTCGAAAAAAAAAACCATGAAAACCTAAGGAACCAGATGGCTGGGAGCCACCAAGAACCAACCTGTTCAGCGACTCACAGACCAAGCCGCACGGCTGAGTCCGCCTCCTTTTGAGCTTGGCCACCCCGTCCTCGTGCACGCATGAGGCCCCTGAATCAACTGAAAGCAGTTTGGACAAGTTCGGCTCTGCGTAGGTTCTCTCCAGCAATCCTTCCTTTTGGAAGAGGCAACTACAACATGCATGTGAAAGCGTCTGCCAAGAACCCATTGCAGAAATGCGGCAAGGGGGAAAGCATTTTGCCTTGGTTGTGAATGTCTCCAACTACCAAAATCTGGACCTTCCAATAGCATCAATTCTTGCTACTTGCATCTGTTCTGCTTTTTCTCTGATGTGATCGGGAAGCACTTCTGCGGAATTGTGTGCTATCAGGTCTTTGCGTATTTCACCCACCGTGCTGGAAAAAGTGTTGCGAATATTACTGGGACATCGGCAGAAAATCGGAAGACGTGTCCAAGACTTTGTGGTTGGGTACCAGCAAGAGGTAGGATTGGACATGAGTTGTTTCGTTGAAAGAAGCGCTTTTGGAAGGCGTGAATTTGTTCCTGAGTATCCGCATGTCCAGAAATGGGATGGCATTGGTGCGTTCTTAGATATCTGGAACTTTAGACATGGGCGAGCTTTCTCTTCAACCGTTCTTTATTCTCGTGGTTTCGGTCCTTTCCTGGGCGTTTTCGTTGGGCTTGCTATGCGGTTTCAAGAATTAGCTTCAAGTCCAAACCAATCCAACACCCAATGAATTGTTTGGGGGTGATTTAAACAGACCTCACACGGCGCTTGGTTTTGGAATGATTCAATTCCCTGAAGTCAGGAAGGTCAGAAGCGTATCCAAAACGCATATTAGGGGGACTGGATACTTCCCAAAAGCGGAACCAAGAAACAGCCAATTCATCTAGGGGTTGATGCAACATTCTGTTCAGCCACCCTTGCTTTCGCAAAAAAGCTAGATCCTATTGCGAAAACTTGTCCTCGCAAAACAAAAGCGACTTGACAATTGTCCCAAAATTTGGTATGTTTGGTAGGCGGCTGATTGCTCCTTTTCGAACAAAACACCATCGCCTGACTCAGTCCTTCCACGCCCGGAAGAGCTGCGCCAGGTCATCAAACCCCCGCTGCAGCGCCGCTGCTTCCCCCAGGACGGCGGAACGCATAGGCGGGTGGATGGCTATCTGCGTTTCTCGTCGGCTTCTTCGGTTTTTGCTGGTAATCTGCAAAATTCTGGTACTTTGCGGAGCCATGTGGTGTTATGAGCTTTTTGGGGCCTGGTGTACTGTCAGAGCTTCATGCATTTTCATGGACCAGCATTACCTGTCTCTTCATCTACATGGCATTGCTTTCTCCGAACTGGCCCCTGCGACGGAAAGGAGGCAGTGCGCCAGGAGATTATTTTTTTCTCTAGACAGTTTTCCTCTAACAGGGGCACTTCTTCTTCCAAGTGTTTGGGAGGCACCACCCTTTAACATTTACAAGGACAATAGTTTCGACCAACATCTCGAAACTAGCTCTTTCAAGGTTGTCGCATTTATGACGAATGACCTCACAAGCGGCTCGGCAGGCCTCAATCTTCCCAACCCTCTACGTCTCTGCGAACCTACTTCTTAACCACAAAGGGCTATGGGATCATTCTTTGTAACATCTTCGAATGAGAAACACAAGAGCCAATTTTGTCTAGAAATTCTTGATGGCCTCCAATCAAATACATATCACCTTAATTAATGGTGATTCAATGGTGATATACTTCGTGGCATAGCGGCTCCCACTTGCTCAACTGCTTTCTCAAAAATCCAATAAAAGCAAACCAAAACTAGCATGACATCCACTATGTCAAGGGGCAGCCTATTTGCGGACAAACACCTTTTTGGTTGCTTTCAAAGGGAAACCAAGTCCACAGATTGGAGCGTCCTTTTGTGCATGGTACATACAGTGTTGCCGCTTTCGGTGGGAACAAAAGATTCTCAAGGAAGAGGAACTCTTGGGGAGGGCCCTTATCTCAGATGCCCAGTGGCCATGAGAAAGAAAAAGGCATCCGTTATTGGTTGGTTGAGTTTAAAGGGGAACCCTTCCCAACAAAAAGGAAACAAGGGCGCCACTGGGCAAGTAGGTCCTCCAGCGAGAGAGGTTACAATAAGGGTACCCTTTTTTCTGTAGCCCATTTTAGTAGGGGAACCCTCCCCCAACAAAGAAACGGTACAAGGGCACTGGGAGACCTATATTAAGACGAGCCTGGCGCTGTTTGAATTTCCCGAACCGACGGCTCAGGGTCCGAAGGCTCCGCCTGCGCTGGGGGAGGCCGGAGTCGGTGAGAGCCAGGCCCTGGCGTGGCGTCGGCTCAGAGCGCCCTTCGGTTGGGCTTGTACTGGCTTTTTCCTTTCTTTTTCCAGGGTTCCAAAAACGGCAAGAAAAACCCACGTATCTGATTACCAAAATTGGGATCGGGACCCCACGGAGGCTTTCCTTCTTCTTTTTTGCCGGAATGTTCCAGACATGGCTTCCCAGAGGTAGCCGGTGAAGCAGGGTGCCAGACATGGCCATAGCAAGTAGAAGTGGCCAGTGGTGAAAGAGGGCTCCAGACATGGCAAGAGAAGAGGGGAGCTGAACGGTGGTTGTGGTGGAGCTTCCCCAAACCCCCGTATCTAATTACCAAAATTGGGATCAGGACCACACGGCGGCTTTCCTTCTGGCAGCTCCGCAGAACACCCAGCTTCACGTCCACCACTGAGCTGTTTATCCTTGAAATTCGTGGCCCTTTTCAGCGCTGTGAACCCTCAACCACTTTGGATGCTTGCGGGCAGAAATTCGCCATGTGGGCTTATGGAACCTGTTTGGATGCTTGACGCTTGGCTATGAAACCAACTTTTCGGCTTTGAAAGCCACCAAACCCACCGCCTTCACGGCCCCCGCAGGCCTCACGCCCATGCCCGGGGCGACCGGGGCCATGGGGGAGGCGCTCATCCCGCGGGGTGATGGCAGCAGGATCACTGCGCCCTGGCGCGCGAGGGAAGCTTTGTGCCCCGTCTCCCCCGTCTCCCTGGTGGCGTGTTCTCGGATGGTACCCCGAAACCATTTCGGGTTTAAAGACAAACATCAGACGCGACTGGACCTTGGGGCCCCAATACAACCATTTAAAGAGCGCCCAATGCGAGTCTTAATTTAGGCTAAAGGGTTTTGGGAAGGTCCCCGTTGCGGCCAGCCAGCCTCCGAACCGGAAACCGACCCAAGCCCCTGAGTCACGGCCTCAACCTTCGGGGCGCGCCGCGGTGTGGAAGACCTGCACTGCGCCAATCGCACATCGGAAAGCGTTTCGGGCGCTTCCCGCTTTCCCGCGGGTTGCACGCGCAACACCTCAGAGCCCGATTGACCTTTGGCATCAAGGTACTCTCATGTGTGTGTGTATATATATATGAGGGTTTCCGTAAAACACTGAGAAAAAAAACGGCAATCCCTCCGCTTCCGCGCCGCTTCCGCGGCGCAAAGCGTACCTTCTGCAGCATCCATAGCTGTCAATGCTCTTCATCTGCTCTGGTCAGCTGTGAAATTGCGATTGGTTATTCAGCAGATCCAGACCAAGGCATCTCCTTAGAAGATCTCGAGAACATCCGGGACAGGCTCTTGGTTCCAGTTTGCGGGCTATGCCAGCGATATAGGCATCGTTTGGGCATCGTTCGGGGCATCGTTCAAACCAAACCGTTTCCTTGTCCAGGCATGGTCAGTTTGATTTGTACAGCAGCTAATGAGTTGGGTATCGGTTGGGCATCGGTTTGGGTATCGGTTTGGGCCCTGCAAATGTCTTATGTCTGATTCCGCAATCTTGGATTGCGACAACAGCTTGGACCTGATGTGTGTCTTGATGGCTTCTGGGGGTATCGTTATTTTTCTCCTCTGTATCGGTTTACAATGGTTTGGGCCTGCAAAACAAGTTAAGGGACGTCCCCTTACATAACGAAAAGGCGCGGGGATTTTATTTCAGTACGCGTCGGGCACTTTCCGAGCTCCGGCTCGAGAATCGCAAATTTTAGTCCAACTGTAGTACGCGAAGGCCACTTTCTCAGCTCCAGCTCGTTGATCTAGAACTTTTCATACACAGATGTAGTACGCGAGGTGTACTTTCGGTACAAGCGTGTAACATGTTTAAAGGCAAGCCAATAGTTTGAAAGAACATAACAAGTCGCAGCTTCCGCGCCGCTTCCGCGGAGCTTCCGCGGCCTGCGTTTCACTTACTTACCAACACAACCACCGCCACTAGCCACTAAAAAACAAATACAGCTATTTACGGAAAGCCTCATATATATATATATATATATGGGTGTGTCTTCTTACGGGGATTGCCAGAAAACCCACCAAAAAATGGTGACCAACTCCATATATCAAGGCTTCCGGAGCCTCAGTGCCCCTAACCCGTTGACGGAACCCGACGCGGCCAAGGACAAACGGACCGTCAGTTGACTGAGCTGTGGGCAGTTCCCTCGGCGCAGCCTGTGGGTCGCAGCCCAACACGGGAAGTTGGGAAGTCGCCTCCATTTGGATGGGCGGTACCCATTTTGAGGTGGGTTGGGTAACTAAAACGGCTTGAATCAACCAGTCTTGGGATTGATTGGGAGACAAACCCATGTACGACCAGTATCCGCCGAATGTTCTTCGCTGACTATGTGAGATTTCGACTGACATCCTGACGCTTTGTGAGGGCGCCCTTTCCAAGGAGTCCCGATAACCCATCTTCACATTGCTCGGCCGTGCTTGACGTTGCTCCGTTGGCAGCCTTATGACCAACCGGCATCCGCATTGGGGTTTGGCTCGTAGAAGTTGCGACTCCAGGGGAGCATGCGTGCTTTCTTTTCGAAGCCGAAGGGGTCACCTCCAGGTTGCTGATATGTCCCGTTGAGGTGGCCCAGAATGGTTTCAGCACCCTTGGGCTCCATTCAAAAAAAGGCAAGAAATCCATGCCGGCGCCTGGTACGCGGACACATAAGTGGGCGCTTGCGGCCCTGGGCCCTGCGCGGAAGAGAATCCCAAGCATTTCTGGCAGTCCAAGTCCTATTTGTGGACAGGTCCCAAAATGCGAAAGGGAACCCCTTGTGATCTCCATCGGACATTCAAAAAGCCACAACACAACTCACACGATGAGAGGAAAACCATTCGTTCGCAGGACCCTTGCTAGGGATCACGAGCCAAAAACGGCAAACAAAAAAGAACACGTGCTTCTTTCCACGTATCTTCTGCTCTGGCTCGGGGAGGTACCCCAAAAGAAAATCCAAGAGGTTGGTTGTCCAGGCTGACCCGCAACCCTCGAGTTGCTCCGAAGTGCCGCGCCCAAACCGAAGGAACCCCTGAGAAAAACAGCCACATCCAGGCTGGAAGCCGTAACATGACTCAAGTAGGTCAACCCCCGAAAAACTCCAAAACGAACAACGGCACCTAATCCCATAAGGAGGAATCCTTTCATCAAGACTGGGGGGCATGTCTTTACCAACGAAAGCGCCGCGCATCCCTTCAAAACGAGAAAACAAAAACAAAAAAACAAAGAAAAAACGACTAGGGGAACCCTAAGAAGACATCCCAAAGACGTGCTCGAGCAACGCTCGCCGCAGCCCTTCAAGCGAAGGCGCAGCGCTGCGAGAGGAGGTCAATGGCGAGGCGTAGACCGGCGCCAGTCGGACGTCTGCGGGCACCTGGTGGGTCAGTTCGGCTCGGGGTGGACTTGTTCGTGGTTGCTCTCTGCTTCCGCAGAGCTACTTGGGGTGTACCAAAAGTCCTCACGAAGGTTCATGGGACAAACCTCGCGTGTTGGTAAGGCTTCACGGAAGCCAAAGAAAGCCCACCGGCCAAGACCCAAATTCCCCACCTCAGCCCGCACGTGGAGCCGCGGGGACGGCAGCATAAGCTCAGAGGAGGTGAGGGGCGAGGCGAGGGGCCTCGGTGACTGCCATGTCTATTTCGTTGAGAGGCCATGGTCAGCGAACCCACTGAAAAAGGGAGTGAAAGGGTGCCACTGAACATCTAAGCTGGATAAATGCCCCCTTCAACAGCTTGCTGTTGAGTAAAAGTCACAACCTATCCCCACAAGGGGCTGGCATTTTCCCGTTCAACAGATTTCTGCGCTGGCTTGGCCTATGTCATCGAACAAGATATGAACAGGGAGGGGCCTACTTGTGCTAGGTCGCCCCCGTAGCCAAGTGCCAACCGGAAGGTTGCCTTCTCCCCCCCCCCCCCCCCAGGAAAAAAACAAATATACAGCCAAAGCGTTCAGAAACCGAGGCTTGGCATCCAGAATGCAACGACCTTGTCTCATGCAACCCCCTGCAATCTTTCCCGCATGTCCCTTCCGTGCTCAGCCCTTCGGAATCGCCACCGACTCCAATGGAACTTACCTTTGGGGAGTGGCTCATTGCTTTGACACCCTGTTGTACAAGTTCTATCCTGTCTGCCGTACCAGAAAATGTGTGAACGCACCCTTGGTGCCGTACGGGGGCCGGTCTTCTTCCTGTCTTGTCTCCAACGGTCCAATTTCAAGTACACAAAGCCCCAAACAAGACCCAGAAATGCGGCAACCCCTCGAAATGCTGGGGATACATGTGTTTGCTGCGGAAAAAAAAGAAGCACAACAGCAGGTAGCAACCCCTCCAAATGCTTGGACCGTGTTTCCCTCCAATACTCGCCCCAAAAATGGATTTCAGAATTCTGCCCCCTTGAATCCCACCAAAAGGAACGGGTTGTTAAAGATTCGCCCCTTTAAAAACCCCGCCCAAAAATTGGGGGGTGTCCTGTGTTGTTTCCCTTCAACCCCCCCTTCCCCCAGCCAAAAACAAAGGAGAAAAAGAAAAGAGAAACCTTTCCTCCCTTCACCCCACACCTTCCCCTCCCGCGGAAGCTATGGACAGCTGAACGCCAAATGGCAAATGCCCATGCCCAACCGCAAGGCAAAAAAGAGAGATGTTCCCCATCGAGGGCCCTGCTGAGCCTGGCTCACCTGGCGCCGCACCAGGCCCACCTGACGGGGTTGACAAGGCCGTGGACCCCCAAAAGGCCTCAAAGCCAGAGATCTAACCTTCAGACCCTAAGGGTTTTTGTACGCCCATGGATTATGCCCACTGAATGACCCCATTTAGGCATATGTCCGGGATAAAATCATGGTGTTTTGGACCATGTTGGGCTATTTCGCAAGGGTGTAATCCCAGGGTGTAATACAACAACCCTTAGACAATGGCTCTCCTCGAAAAGCCGGGAATATTTTGTTTGGGTTTGGGGACCCAGTTGGGTATCCTTTTTGCAGCCAAGGTTCTCCGGACTACAGCAACAACAATGGTATCCTCTTAAAGGCAGTTTTCGACATGACTTGCACAACCTGTGGCTGCTCAAGCTGATGCTCTCCAGTTTCAACATGACTAATGCACAACCTGGAGCTGATTGTCATGCTTCTGCTGCCTGCACTGCGCCGGTTCAAGTCCCACTCCGGTGTACGCGAGCCGCAAAGGGTGGTTTTGAACACATCATCCGTTGGGCTTAGAGGTGAGTTCCCCAAACCAAGACGGCGGAAGGATACACCGCTTGTTTCGTGTGTGTGTGTGTGTGTTCCGTCATCAAACCGGCGGCCTTTCAGGCTTTAATTGCCCTTGGAAGGTCAAAAGACAAACCCGGGGGTGCAATCCTGCGTGGATGTGTGCCAAAAGATTAGGACCCCCAAATTATCCAAAATTCAACATTAGCCCACCAGAAAGAAACGGTTTGGCTGGCTGAGCAGTCAAGCTAGTACTGTGCCGAGGCATGAAGGGAACTTACTTCACATTGGCAAGTAAAAGGTGGGAGAGAAAGTTGTCGCGCTTCAAGACGACTCTCACTTTTGGAAAAAACCCTGCCGGCAGCACCCAGGCACGGGGGGAAACTGGACTTCTCCTTCAAAAGTTTCAATTTTCTGGTGGGCTGAGCTGAAATTGCCACGTTCGAGGGCCCAAACAAAGGTAAAACTGACTAGATCCCCAAAAATGAGTTTAACTGTGTGAAATCCGGAGACCAAACCACTAAACCAAAACACTAAACCGACTAAAAGTATCTAAACACCTAAGTGGAACCGATGATTCGCCGGTTCCGAACCGCCAAGTTGAGGGGACCCCCCGTCCGGCGCGCCCACACCGCTCGTCGCGCCTGGGGAGCAGAGCTCGCACGCATCTGTGCCGGCGGCGGCTGAAGGCAGTTCATGGCCACCGGCCTGCCGGCGCCGTGCTTTTCGGAGCGCGTTTCGGGCTCCAAGGAGTGCTGGCCGCTCTTTTTGGAGGGCACCCCTTTTTCTAGTGGTTTGAAAGGGAACCAAAAAGAAAATCGAAATCATTTTTTTGGGGGGGGTCCCGAAAAAAAGAGACGCCCCCAGTGTTTCCGAGCCGTTTCCCTTTTTGGAACTGGCAGTGTCAATGGAGTTCACCAGTCAATTGCTTGATTTTGAAGCAGAAATCCAGTGACCGCTGGAGTAAGCCAGCGCTTTTTTCCTGGCTGTTGCCGCGCACACGTGCAACCTACAGATCAGATTCCATGGCAGTGGAAGGACAATAATAAACAGGTTGAAGGGGAGAAAGAACATGTGCATCTCGGAACACCGTCACATATATGAGTTCGATACCGGCACCGTGCTGGACATTCATGGCATGATTCAGAAAATTGGAGTCGCACCAAGCATCTAAGATACAAATATATTTTGTATGGTGTTTAACATTGAAGCCGCCAGAAAGGAACCTATTGCTTTTGCAGGTGCCTACTGTTTGCAACCACGCAACTGTCGGCTTCGAATCATCTAGTATCAGCAACCTATAGTGGATGTCGCTCATGTGCAGCGCGGAAAGAGAACGCACCCGCACAAATATGTTGGCTGACCAGAGATGTCACAAAGAGCCTGTGCAGAAATGTTTCATTCCCAAACACTAGCAACCTAGACCAAAGTGGGAGATTTCATCTGCGACGCACTTGCTCCCCATGAGGAAACGACCCATGTCCCCATGGCCCTGGTATCACAAAGGCAAGAACCAGCCCATCAGTTCCACCACCCTGACCTGCCAGACACAGTATTAAATATGGACTCCCACCAAAACAAAGAACTTGCCTTGTTGAACCAAAACCCACGGTATCTTGAAGCGTAGCCAGATGGCTGGGAATCGCCAAGAAAGCCAGACACACCTCCTCCTCACCAACTAAGAGCATCTAAAAACCTACGGAAACCAAAAAGCACGAAACAAACCAAAAAAACCATCAAAAAAAAAACACTAAACCAACTAAAACCACCCAAAAAACACACACAACCACTAAACCAACTGAAAAAACCATGTAAAAAACCAAACCCACCGGGTGCCAACGGGAATCCGCGCGCCACGTATCCCCCCAGCCGGGGCCAAAGGCCCGCGCCCGCGGCCCCGCTGCGGCGCCGCAAGGCGCTCGGGCGGCGGCACGTCCGGGGTGCGGGGCGGCTCCTGGATCTGTGAATGGGTGGCGGACATAGGCATATATGTATATAAGCGGAAATATAGTAGAGGTGTCATATTTATCTGTATAACTATATAATACGCAGAAACTTAGTAGAGGTGTCTCTGTGTGTGCAAATACATATTTATATCACGTGTGTATACATATATATATATATATATACCCATGTGTATATGTATATATATATATATGCGGTATGCGTGTGGTACGTATCTATGCTTGTTCAGCCTAAACGCCGTCTCTAGTCCTTTGTGAAGAGCTTTCACTTTATGAGTCTCTGACGGAGCCTTCGTATCAGCAGTTTAGCAGAATCACTTGGACAGGCCTGGATCATTGCTTGCCCGTTGTGAACGTCAACATGGCTTGCCGTGGTGACAAAGGGTATGTTTCGAATGGAGGGTTGGCCAATCCGTTTTTCCACCAATCCACATAGGGAAGCCACTAAAGAACCAAATCCCGGCGTGACCGAAGGTAGGGATCTTGCGGATTGCCTTTGAGCCCAGGTAAATGGGGCCAGTATATGTGTAACCCCAACCACCGAACCAACTAAAAGCATCTAAAACCCGATGGAAACCCCCCACTAAAGCAACTAAAACCGTCCAAGCATTTATGGAAACCAACGGAACCGTCTAAAAACCTAACCGGATGGCTGGGAATCCGAACCGAGAACCCAAACCCCCCTCCTGGGTGGTTTGGGACATCGCCGTTGCCTGGGACACCACTGTGGCTTGAGACACCGCCGACGCTGTGGCGCTGGTGCCTCGCACGCTCGCCGTCTTCGAGCGCGCTTCGAGCGCTTCGATTCGGCGGCTGGTGGACGGCGTTTCGGGTCGCGGTCTGAATGGAATCAACCAGCATGGACCGTCAAATTAGGCATAAACATGTGCATCAACATGTTGCGACAATTTTCTGAGAATATGAAATTATACAATATTTTCTAATGACACCAAACCGTGATTCTTTCAGTGGACGATTCTGAACCCCTGCCTCAACGACTCAGAATGAGGAATCGGCCGCTAGTGGCCGAAGTTTCCGGGTCTCTCTTTCAAGGGCTCAAAGAATCCGGTAGACAGACCCGGCTCAAAGACAGGCCGCAGTCGAGCCTTTGGCTTCGGAGATGCGGTCCCGGAACTCTTGACACTTCTTCTCCAAGACCTCGGAGCGAAACCGTCCACGGGACGGGACGTGTTTTCGTTGCATGGGGAAAATCCAGACTTCAGGCCTGAAATCCTGCAGGGATTTGTTTGTGCTGGACATGGGACCCTGTGATGGTTCATGTCCGATAAGAGGTTCATGTCCGATAAGACCACTGGGTGGGCTATGTCGGGTTTGTGAATACTCAGCGAGCAGCTACCACAAAACTGGGGCCCTCGTCCCAAGGTACCAACCCACTTCCCTCCTGTTGGCCTTGTCTCTGAAGAATCCCTGGAAAGAGGTGGTCAAGGGAAACCTTTAGAAAATGTCTATAGAAAGGGAGCCCTCGAACGCTTCGATACCTTTGAATCCCTTTAGTTCAACCAAGGGACTCTGCCCTTGCTAAGGGGATTTCAATAGAAAGGGACCCCTAGAGCGCTGCTTTACTCATTACTTGGCACCAAAGTTGATCTTCAGTTCAACCGAACAAGTCCAAGCCAAACCGCCGACCTCTGGGCCCCAGGGCGTTTTGTCGCTTCTGAGCCAGCAGCAGGTGGCTGTGCATGCCCACCTCAGACCACCAGGCGAGGTTCGGCCGGTTCCGCGCGGCCCGGAGTTCGGCGAGGCACCGATTTTCGCACAGATCTGGCGAGGCACCGATTTTCCCTACTGCTTTCGCAGAGATATGGTAAAAGTTTAGCAGTAAACTTGCAAACAACAGTGACTCCGTGTGTTGTAACCGGGATAGAGATGCATGATTCCCTCTTGGGAGAAATTGAACCCAAATGGCCAAGCGCTTGAACGGGCTCATGTATGGAAGGTTCATGTCCAACTAAGAACAAAGAGGCGCCGACAGTCAATCATCGAGAGGAAAGATATCGGGTGCTAGGTTGAAGCCCTTATGGTCTGTCACTCGGCCACTTAAATCAATCCTTCCTACTTGGATGTTCAACGTGGGCTAATGGTTGGGAACATTGGGGTTGGCTGACTTACCATAGTCATAACCCACTTACTGGATCGGCTTTACCAGTTGGATGTTCAACCCCGGGATATAAAAATGTCTTTTTCGGGGACCTCCCAAACTGCTGGTCTTGCTTTTGGGTTTCCTTTAAAAACACCAAACAAGAGGTAACAACTCCAAAAAAGAGACGAGGCACCCATATTATGAGAAATGGGCGTGGCTTGCATATGGTCGCAACCCACTTGCCAGTCAACCCCTGCACTGGACTGAGCTCTCGGCCACAGCCTGGCGCAGCCATTCCACTTCCTGCCTCCCAGAAACGAGCCGAGGGGGTGCCGAGGGGGGGGGGGGGTCAGAGTCACCGAAGAAAGGGATCTTTGGATTCCAGAAGAAACAGCTGACTCCTGCAAAAGAAATAAGGTTTGGGCTCCCGCTCGAAGATATAGGAGAGTATGGGGGATGGTTCCTAAACCAGGCGCAAACAAATACACAAACAAAAAAAAAGAAGAGAAAAACAAACAAAAAACAAGCAAGCAAGCAAGCCAGCAGGCAAGCAGGCAAGCAGGCAAGCAGGCGAGCAGGCGAGCAGGCAGCAAGCAAGCAAGCAAGCAAGCAAGCAAGCAAGCAAGCAAGCAAGCAAGCAAGCAAGCAAGCAAGCAAGCAAGCAAGCAAGCAAGCAAGCAAGCAAGCAAGCAAGCAAGCAAGCAAGCAAGCAAGCAAGCAAGCAAGCAAGCAAGCAAGCAAGCAAGCAAGCAGCAAGCAAGCAAGCAAGCAAGCAAGCAAGCAAGCAAGCAAGCAAGCAAGCAAGCAAGCAAGCAAGCAAGCAAGCAAGCAAGCAAGCAAGCAAGCAAGCAAGCAGTAGCAAGCCAGCCTGCCACCCAGCCACCCAGCCACCCAACCACCCAACCACCCAACCACCCAACCACCCAACCACCCAACCACCCAACCACCCAACCACCCAACCAGACCCGCTCCCCTCAAGCTACACGCCAACTCCACCCCCAACTCCACCCCAACCTCAACCACCAACTAAGTTACTACACATCCTCCTCTATCAAATTGCGGGAGAAGAGAGAAGGGGCCAAACGGCCAATCAAGCAAGCAACCAACCCACCCACCCACCTACCCACCCATCAACCAACCAACGCATCAACCAACCAAAAAACACACACGCACCTTGCAACCACTCCCTCTTTGAGGTCTCCGAGCATTGGCCACGAGTCAGCTGAGCCAGTGGCCAGGTATCAGCCAGGTCGGTGTCCTCCGCACCTCCCAAAAACCGGGCTTGGACGGCTTGCACCCTTGGAGCCTCCAAAAATGGGTGTTTCTTTTGGTTGCCCAAAAATCCCAATCTGAAAAGAATACCAACCCCACAACACATGTCGGGAGCTTCCATTGTTTGGAGGGAGAGCGCCTAAGGGGAAACCAAAAGGGAACCCCCCGTAGCTGGAACACCCCAGTCAAAAGGGAATATGCCGAATATGCGGTTGGGTGTTGGGCACGGAACTCCCCCCCCAAAGCGCACCGCACCGCACCCGTGAATTTGTTTATCGGACAAACAACTCCACTCTCGGCTCTGGAGCTCGCGCCTGGAGTATGCGCCGCCTGCGACAGGACAAGTTGAGGGACAACTGACCAATCTCCAAATCAAAAGCAGTGCCTTGGGTTGCCCCACAATCCCCTAGGTGTCCTTCTGGGAAATAGATGAACTCCGCTTGAAAAGGAATCCAACCCAACACCTGGAATCAAACTTTCAACACACTTGCTCTCAAGGAAAGGACAGCTATGCCCTTTTAGCAACCAAACAAAAACAGAAAATGCCGTTGACATACCAACCAGCCACAGTGCATCGGCCCCCAAAACGTTTTGGGGTCCCGGCCAACCCAGGACACCGTTGCATCACTCGCCTGCACCTTCTTGGTCTCCGCCTCCCGAAGCTGCGCCTGGTCCAGGTTTTGGGTCGCAGGGGTGACTCAGAGATAGCGACTGACTGATCGGTGACTCAGAACTGATCCGTGGTGAGGAAGTTGATACATCCAATACATGATGCAAACGGATGGTTCAAGCTAAGTGGCCCATGCTCATGGCCTATAAATCCGTCCCCGTTTGAGACGTCCCTGGCTGAGGAGGCTGCGGAGCATCTGCGGAACTTGTCGTAGACCTCCTGCGAAGTTGCGACAAGCAAGGCGCCAAGCAAGGCGCCGGAAGGATGTGGAAAAAAGCTGGAGAGAAAAACAAATCACCTGACCCCTAATTGGTGGTTTGGTTTGGTGATTTGGACCTTAGGTGCCTTCACCGTTTCTTCCAACCACCAAACACACGGCAAAAGCAACCAACAAACAAAAACCAAGGCCCTGAATAAGGGTCCAAAACTGACTTTTGCAACTAGACCCAGCGAAAGAAAGCTGGAGCAAAAGCGGGTGAATTGCAATAAGTCACAACCTAAACTGAGGAATCCCCAAGAAAGAAACACATCGTAGACGATTGTGCCGTGCCGCACATTCAAACCCTTTGTGAGGTGGAAAATGAATTTGCCCAGAAGCCAAGCACTAAGAACACCCACATGCGGGACACCTCAAACGGGGTGCATGTGCGTGCCCCGTCATGAAAACCATCCAAAATAGGGCATCCGCCATCTGGTTGTCTGGTCGAAGTCTAATACAACTGTTGGAAAATCAAACTAGATCCGGAGGAGTCGGGGATGCAAGGTCATTTCCTTCGAACCATGTAGCTTCCAGTTTCCAGGTATAAGTCTAGATGCACCCGGCACCCGGAACCCTTCCGCATCCCTGCTTCCTTCGTTTCCCTCATTCGTTTCTCGACTTGAAATCTGGGACAAAGGGCGAACTGTTTCTGTTTTGCTTTTCCTTTGACCGAACAAGTTGGGAGTAGCGCGGCTTGCGCCCTCTCGCCTGAAGAAGCTCTTGCAGGTTCTCTGCCCGGACATTTCGAGACTCCTCACGCCGGCCGTCGACTTGCAGGCCGAATCGGGGAAGTGCGGCAACTAAAACTAGGGCACCTCTCCCGTCCGTGTTCAATATGGATGGACAAAGAGAAACCAAGAGGGAACCAACAAACTGTTTGTGAGCGCGGCCAATTCGATTGTATTTCGCAAACTTGGGGGGGGGGGCCGCTCCTGGACCAATGAGGCCAGGTGTGAAGCAGGAAACAAATGACAACCCAAGTGCACGCGCTTCGCCAAGCGTAGGCAACAGTTTGTTCTATCAGAGCCATGGCAATCCGACGTGCCTCATTCCTTTTCGGCGGAGACGCGTCCTCCACGAGGGATGGCTGCCGGCCTCAGCAAGTTCCCCGATTGCTATTGATGGGTGTGGGTGCTTGGCCTTTAGCTTCTTGTGATTGGTCTCCATAGTGGAAGTCACGTGCAGTGAGCTCCCAAGACAACCTCGAGGACGAGAAATTGGGATTGTCACAAACCAACTACCAAATATGGAGAATTACTCTTTTAATTCGGAAGCCTGAATTAAAGAATCCCTAAGTAACCGACCTTCGTGCGTGAGGTCGTTTAACCCCCCAGGTAAGCTTGCTGCAGCTAGTGCAGTCGGACTGTGTCAAGCAATCCCCTCGTACGGGCCTCTGTAAGCAAAATTCGAGGGCCCGATTTGGGGGAGCCGAACCAAGGAGGGAAGCGTAGCCTCCAACAAGAAGACCCAAACTGATTTACCAACTCCAAAACCCAGAAAAAATCCGAAACGCTTGGCTTCTGTTTAGGCTCACGAAGGATCGCAGGAAGGTCACCCCGATGTTTGGCTCGCCGACTCCGACCAATCCGAGGCCGGGGCTCTTCACCCGGACCTTGCCCTTGGGCGGGGACTCGCTGCGCTCGACCTTCGGCTCGGGCTCCGGGGCCGGAGCCTGCGAGGGCGGCTCGCGGGGAGTTGAGTTAGGCCTCTCCCGTCCGCATTTCGCCATCCAGTCATAGGGTACCCCCTACACTTTTTGGCCTATCGTGAATACACATACTAAAACAACCCGTTTTCAACCTTCAAAACAAATCACCCAACCAATCCAACCAACAAAAAACTTGTTTAAACAAAAAACTCATACCCTACGCTCTTTCAATAACAACATTCAGAACTACATACCATCTCACATCTCCCCAACAAAGCCCACCCCAAAAATCCAAGCTACATGCCAACAATTTTTCACTCCCAAGATCACAACCCCTAAATCTCCTTTCTCTTGTGAACCAACTTGACACCCGTGCCCATTTCCAACGAATAAGGACAGTCTAAAAGCAACCCCATGTTCACGCCCAAAGTGGTTAACCATCAGAAAAAGGAATATTCTAACCGTTAACCCAAATCAAGAACAAAATCCCAGTAAACATTGGATGGCAAAATGTGGGCGGGAACAAGGCTTTGGGGTTTAAGCGGGGCTGCGCGGCACATGATGCTCGGCACCTTCCTCTGCAACTGCTGTTGCCCTTTGCTAGCGTAGCAATGACTACGGAATCCAATTTCGGACATCGATTAGGGGCGTCCAACTCATACATGTCAAAGCTACAAAGGCATGTTCGGGGTTCTCAAAGTAGAGGCAAACCCGAAAATGATCCGTTTCCATGCTTCCCTTTAAAACAATCAACCACAAAAGGCTAATCACACCAACAACAATGGAAGGACAACGGCCTCTGTAAGCTTTGCTTTTGAGGAAGGGGACTGTGCACTCTCATGTTTGTTGGTGGGAGGGTCTCTTAAAACATTGGGTAGCGAAAAAATGCTGTTTTTTGCAGCCCCATTAAAAATGAACAGACCCCAAAAACCAACAAAACCCTAAAAACACCTGAACAAAAATGCGCTAAACACCTGAAAATCCAAAAAAAGAGCCAACAAAAATTAAAAACCAAAAAAAGAACGCCTTTAAGAACATGCCAACCGCCCAGTGATCAAAGGCACCCTCCCAACCACCTGCCTTCCGGGCAAACCCCCTCCCCAAAACTCCCCTTTGCGGCCCGGAGCCGGGCCTCTGGCGCCAGCACCTTGGCCTTCGGAGCCTCTCGGACCTGGTGCCAACGTGCAAGGTGCAAAAAGGGCGATGCGCGAGTATCCGTGCGTGTGTTGAGAGCTCAAAACCCGGTACTAATAGCCCTCGCGCGTAAAGAACTCGAAGGGTGGTTCCCATAAATTTGGCTTGGACTGGTGCCTAGACTGAAGCTCAGGAGGTTTGAGGCCTATGTTGACTCGGTTCCTGGGTTCACACCCCTACCCTCTTCACATGGAACCGTTCGACGTTCGGGGGGTCCTGGTTTGGACCATTTTCCATTCTTAAAGGGACCGGGACATCCCTATAATAAGCAACCATTGATGTTGACCCCATGTGAATCAACCAACCGGCTTTCATTCATAGGGGAGTGGGGGGCCCTCCAAAAGTGGTCTGATTCCCCACTAAACCCGGGGAAAAGCACCCTCCTACTAACCAACAGGGGTTGATTAACATGGGGTCAACATTAAGCACAAATCCCAACCGAAACATGTCATCCCCATTACTCGGTACCCAAGATGCTGTTTTTCCGGTTGTGTTTTTCTTTAAAACACACAAAAAGGGGGGGTCCCCTCAACACACACAAGACACACCCATATGGGGGGATGACGTTGTTTTCGGTTCAAACTCTTGGCTTATGATATGGAGATGAGTGCCCCTTTGGAGTTGGGTCATGTGTCTTCGTTGAGTTCCCCTTGTATTCGTTTCTCTTTGGCTTCTGTGGTTCCAGACTCGGACCCTTGTCCGAGACCAGAATCCGCAGTACGCGAATACAACAAGACCGCCTTCTGGCAACGCCCAAGCCCCATGGAAAAAATGAGGGGCCGCCGAAACCAAACCTAAGAATCAACGCCCATCAGGGTTCCATCATGTTCCATTCCCTTACCAAGATAGACTAAAATGACTAAAACCCAGAATATCCTCTGGCAATGAACCCGCCCTCTGGGCTTAAAACGTGGGAATTCGGCCCTTGATACGGCCCTTGAACAAGCCCTGCCCAGCCTGCGGCTCCGAGTCTTCAACCGGGGGCTGACCCATCACCTGCGCACCCACAGTCGACGGTCCTTCTCGGTGCCAAAGTGGGACGAATCCCCATTCATGTTGACCCCATGTGAATCAACCAACCAGTTTTCATTCATATGGGAGTGGTGTTGCACTCCAGAAGTGGTCTGATTCCCCACTAAACCCGGGGAAAAGCCCCCCCTAGTAATAAACTGGGGTCGATTCATGTGGGGTCAATGAGGTTCCCTATCAAAGAAAGTGACCTTTGTCTCAAGGTGAGGACTGCGTGATGGAGATGGTCTGAGGAAAACAGGTGTGAAGCCCTTGCGACATTCTCAGGGCCTTCTAATTTTGACACACACACACACACACTTTTTCGGGATCACTGCGCAGGATATGTTTCATCGGCAGGATACCTTTTTGTTCGGTATGGTCCTCCCTCTTGATGAATCCCAAGTTAACGGTGCGTCGCAATCCTTTCGCTTTGGAGATACGCTGAATTGCTACATCATCGGTGTCCATTTAGAAACATGCTATGCAGGTACCATAAAACCCGTACTAAATAGAATAAGATGGGCTCTCGAACAGCAAATAAGGTCAAGATTACATAGCTCCTCCAGTAGAGAGATTAGAATAAGGGTACCCTTTTTTCTGCAGTCTATTTTGGTAGGGGAACCCTCCCCCAAAAAAGAAAGGGTAAAAGGGCACGACTGGGGGACCTAGATGAGTAAACTAATAGAAACTGGTTGCCCCTATAGTAAATGGATACCACGCGAAGGACTGTCCGCAAAGCAAACGCCCTGCCTGCGGCTTCTCCTCCGGCGCCTCCGAAGAGGGCGCTGGCGCCGGCGCCTGCGGTCCACATCTTGCTGCCCGAGGAAAAGGGATCCCTCGACCGATCTCCAGAGGGTGAGAGGAAAGAAACCACTTGAACTGAAGGACATATCTTGCCGGACAAAACAAGCCGGACAGTTTGCTTTGCCGTTGGAAAAACCCATCGCTGAAGCGCTGAGGCGCCTCCGGCGCCTCCGGCGCCTCGGGCTCTGGCGCCTCCGGCGCCGGCTTCTCCACCTTCTCCGCCTGAACCGGAGAGCCCTCCAAAGGAAAAAGGGGGGCGGTGCGTGGGTTGCCGCTTTTTTCAGAGAAGCAAGGAAGGGGATAGATAAGCTGCGAGAGATCGGAATGAGAGTTATGGAATGACCAAGGAAAACAACCATCCAACTGGTGGTTTCCTTGAAGGGAATCCCCAGGTTCATTCGCTCATTCGCGACTGAGCACCAGCAAGTAAAGAAGACAAGTCAAATCTGATGTCAAAGGAGTCTCAAAAATGATCTTGAATCCATGTCCAACATTTTAAGCCCCTTCTTGGCAAAAGAAAACACCAGCCCCCCGCGCCTCTCGCCTCTAGCCGTATCCTCCCCATTCTTTTCAGCCCTCCTTTCAAACAATTTACAAGCAAAAACCGGAACATGGAAACAACAAAACAGGACAAGTGGTAGGGTCTCGCAGGAAACTCGCATCACATGCCTGGCATGACCAACGTGACGCTTCGGCAGGTGACTCGCTCGGTTTGCCCATCGAGGCCGATTCCAACCGGGGCTGCAGCTTTCACTTTCTTCTCGGCCTCGCCCGGCACGCCGATGATTGTCTTCCTGACACCACCCCACAACCCGCCCGAAAAACCACCATGGAGGTACGGACTTTTCATAGAACTTGTTGGATCCTTCAGTTGACCTGACATAGGAGTTGTGTCCAACCGCATTTTAGGTGAGGGTGTTCCAGTAAAATACAAGCTCGAATTTTGTTCAGTTCGGACTTGGACAAGAACTATGCTCTGACAAAACCCTATCTATTTGTCCTTAAGAATATTTGCCGAGTTGGCGTTGACTCAGAATGATCGGCTTTGTTTGTCGAATTGTGGATTTTCCAACCTCGGATAACTTCGGTGACACGACGAAAGGGTTCCCATATCTCGCCTTGAAGCATCACTCCACAAGCTCGAAACCCACGATTGTCCCCAACTAGTTGCCCCAAACAGGGCTGGAGCCCTGGGAAAGACAAATGATGCTAGAGATCAGCCTCAAGCAAGGGTCCCTTTTGTTTCCCGCTGCCCAACCAAAAGCGGGCCTCTTGAACCGACACGCACAAGGTCAGGTGCTTCAGGACCTAAAGCCTCTTTGGCATCACATTCCCACGTCTGAGGGTTTTTGTACAAATGACCCAGAATGGTTCAAAATCACACGGTTTTATCCGGAAATGTGCCTAAATGGGGTCAATACCCAGTGGGTGTATTCCCAGGGTGTAATACAAAAAGCCTTAGACCATGATACGTAGGCAGATGTGATGTGGGAGACATACCTATCAGAATGCATAGCCATACGTCATAACGCACAATTTACGGTACAACATGATGATACCATCTAACAAAACGCATCATGCACATTCTCAAAAAATCTCAGAATGATACTATGCAAAAGTGTAACACTGTAGATGATGGGTGATTATTTTCGTGGTAGCCTCAGCAGTGCATCCCCGCAGCCAAACAAATAAACAGCCTGGGAAGTGTCCCCAACAGCAACTGCTGCGAACCGCACCAGAGCCCATCTGAGAGACCCCGATGCTTTGAGCTGGGAGCAAACCAACAAATCCCAAGATAACAAGAAAACAACAACAAGACATGCAACCCAAACACAATAAAACCAAACAAGAAGAAACCAACACAGACATGCAAACCAAAAACAAGATATCTCTTCCATCGGTTTCATCGGAGCCGGCAGTTTGCCACTCGGCCCAGTGGATGAGGCAGGCACCTCCTACCGCTCTCCACGGGGATCGGCAAGCGCGGCACCTGACTTCGCCGGAGAGCTGGGAATTACTTGGGGGGGCCGGTGAGACCTCAGGGACACCAAACTAACCTGAAGGAGACGAACAACTACCAAAATCTGGATTTGACCCTTTTGCAATCCAGTTTCCGGGCCTTTCTTTGAACCAGTTTGAGGGTACTGGTTTGTCACAAAAGTGCCGGCTCACAACCCAGCCTTTTCGGGGGTATGTCGATGCCAAATCGCCCGCCAACAAAAACCGCGCGCCCGAACCCATCACGCCTGCGGCGTCACATCTCCCTGGATCGTCACCAGCTTCCCCTCGGAGGACAACTCCTGACCTGAAGTCGACAATCGGCTGTTGCGGCTGATTCCTCGGTTCACGGCAAAGCCGACATGCTCCAGGTGCCTCGTTTTGCCTGGTTTCACGTGGCCGTTGTAAATAAGCCAACTGCAATGGGTTTTGTTTGGCATTGTTGTTGATATCTATATAGAAACATTGTCCAGTGGCTCCTATGATTGAGACAATGCAATGGGTGCTTTGGGTTTCTTTTTGAACACATCTAAAGGAGAGTCCACTTAAGCATTGGCTTGGTCGATGTGGTGGAAAACGAGACTCTTTCGGCGGTAGGTGGACCAACCGTAAGCGGCTTTACTTTGTCACTGCAATTCCAAGTTCACTGAAGATAGGCCAACCTCGAATTTCCCACAATGGATGAGGTACCTAGCAAGGGCAGTTGAAATGTCTTCCTCCTTCCAGTCGCTTCCATTCCATGAATGCAAAATGACCGGAAAAAAACCTTTGGAAACAAACTCAACCTGGGGATCGGACATTCCTTCCACAGCCCGTGTGCTCAAAACCGGGTGTTTCTGTTCCCTCGAACTTGCCCTTGTCAAACCAGTCAGCCCCAGGGTCCTTGTGGCTTTTTTGTTCTCGGCTGCAGGGTAGCTCGCCAGTGGCCGCAAGGGCCGTCCGTACATTGGCCAACGGCTTCCAACACACCGTCCAAAACACAAGCCCAAACTGAGCTAACCGCTACGTGGGAATGTGTGTGTGTGTGTAAGCGCACCAGTTTGGACGGTGAGCTGCAAGCCAATCTTCAACACGTCAAAGGCCAAACTCCATACGTCACGGCCGTCGATCAGGCCACTCAAGAAAGACTCGAACAGCGTGGCCCCTGACGTGTCTGAGGACTCCGACGTTCCCAGGTCACTTCACCGGATTTCCGAACAACTGGCCTGGAAATCCTCCCCGAAGCGGACCTGCGATTTTTTGAAGCCTCTACACCTACCGAGCGCATTGGGCAATGCTGCTCGAGCTCGCCGGAGCAGATCGCATTGATACTTTCCTGCATAGGTCCCGAAGAGAACCAACCAAACCACCTACCAAAAGGAAAATTGCGGGTGACCTAAGGGTCCACTGGGCGGGGGGGTTGACCAACTGGTGACTTTCCAAATTGCGAGGTCGCCCTAAAGATGCCGAACCTTGGCCCAATTTGGGAGCTCCGGGATCCAACCTTTGACTTCAACCCATTTCAATCCAAAGCCGCGGCGAACGCGGAAGATCCGGTCCGGCGGGACCGATCAGCCATCTCCTGCTGTTTCAGGAGGGATAGCTCACTCGCCGATCCTTGCGATCGGATCCAAAGGGCACGAAGACATGCAAAGAAGAGATCGTGGATGGATAAAAAATCCTGCAGTTGGGATGCATAAGACCCTATGAATACTGGGATAATGTGCCTGGTGCAGGAATTTGTCCAAGTGGGAGGGGTAGGCTTGGACAGTTGAAGTCGGTTTTGCAGCTGCCCTACGGAACCCGACCATGGGTGTCGGGTTGAGCTCTTGGGAGATCCAAGCCAAACCACCGTCTAAACAGACTCCATACAGCCAGGCATGTTTCCTTGGCTGGAATTGGGACCCCAGCAAACAAGAACATACTTTGCTAGTGGAAAACAAAGGCCTAAAAAAGCGAAGAACATCAAAAAGGGGAACGAATTCTGGGGAAGTCTGATGATGTCTGACAGGTGCTTCCCCAAGCCTGCCTTGGGTAAGTTGGATGTAGCGAATGGGCGGCTCGTGTTTCTTTAGGAATTGGACCCCCTACAATGTGGGCGGGGGTTGTCCTTTGGTTCTCCTTGTGGTTTCCATTTAAGAAGCACAAAACAAGGCTACCCTCGAAAAAAGATACACCATAAATGCTGGTCCCTCTTCCCGGCTTACATTGCGAGGCAGATACAATTCCTTCCTGACGGGGGGGGGGGGGGGCGTCTCATGGGAGGTGTCTCCGCTGTTTTGGATTGCTTTGAAGGCAAGCCAAAAGGAAACCAACCAGGCCCAAAAAAGCCTACTTGCTCAAAGTGACGTGTTTCCTCATTCTTTCCGCTGGGTTGGCCCTCTGTGTCAAACTGCCAGTTGGCAGTGGGTCAAAAATAGGTACCCAAAATGGAACCCTGGTAAATGGTTAATTTTGACCCGTGCCCAGTTGTGTCCCCAAAAAATGAAAAACTAATCTCTGTTTGGTGGTTCTCTGTTGGGCGTTGCATCCCCTTGTGCCGCCGAACCTACCTTCCACTAACATAGCACCTGTGGGAAGGTACCTGGATGATCGTGTTTCTCTTGCACGGACCCCCTGTCAGGTGCCATGTTAACGGGAATGAGAGTAATTCTACAGCCATCATTACTTGTTCAGCATGTGACCCATCTCAAAACTGCTACTGTCAAGCAACAATTCCCATCATGTGCGTACACAATGGAGCAAGGGTTCGTATCATTTGCCTTTTGTGTGTTTCTGTCTTGATCCAACAGTAATCATTCAACAAAAATTAGCTTGACTTGCCTTGAACTCCCTTACAGCATTCTACTGTATGCCATGATGTAGAGTAGAATATCATTTCTACAGGTTGCTCTCCATGTCCGCGTGCAATTTGGCCCGGATTCCCTGGCTTCAAAGACCCAAAGTCCCCCCAAACACAAACCACGTGGTTTCCCCGTTGGCTTTCCCTTTGCCTAACAAGGAGGTAAATAGCAACATCTCTGCTGGCCACCGACCAGCAATGACCCGCCCCCCCCCCCAAAAAAAACAAAAAAAAAAAGAAGAGAAAGAACGTTGGCCGTACCTACAGGAAAAACAACAACACACTCCCTGAAAGCGCCAACAAAGTATGGCCCATGAAAAAGCAACAAAGTCCAAGAAAGCCAAGCACATAGGTATGAAACAAAAAGGTCCTCCCCCAACCAAAAATGATAAAATGCTTTCTACCAGTGGTTTTCTTTTGAATCCAACTCACAAAACGTACCCTCGGAACAGCACGTCCCATCCACCATTGTCAGCTTCCCTTTGGACAGATCTCTGCTTTGGTCCCCGGCCTCTGCATCAGGGCGGCGGCCTCTTGGGTGGCGGAGGCAGCTTGGACCGGCTGGGACCTTGGCACGGGCCAGAAGAAAAAATCCTCTAGGTCCTCCAGTAGAGAGGTTAGAATAAAGGTACCTTTTTTCTGTAGTCTATTGTAGTAGGGGCACCCTCCCCCAAAAAAGAAACGATAGTCTTGCAGGGACCCCCTGTCAAGTGCCATGCTAGTGGGAAGAGGGGCGGAAATTCATTTTTTTTGTTTGAAAGATGCCCTGGAAAACACACACAACTCTTTTCCCCCCATGTCAAACCCCCCGCACCCCTCCCCGTTATCGGCGCCGCGGTTCCGTGGCTTGGGGGCCCCTGCTGCTCTTCCGGGGCGCCAGGGAGGCCCAGGGATCTTGGAAGGCGCCCTTGCGCCGGTGGCGGAACCTGCGGGCCGCAAACAACCGGCCGCCGGGCGCCCCTTTCCGCGAGCCGCGATTATGGCACTTCATGGCTTGAAATGGAAAAACCAAACGCCGCAATCCATCCCAACCAACCCAAGGCCGTTGAAAATGACTCCCGCAGTTTCGGCTTCACGCCCAGAGCCGTCCGACAGGCTCTCCCGAAAAAGGCGAAAATATGGTCCCGCGCCTGCCCGGTGTCGCCAGCATGGCGCGGTCCCGGGTAGCCTGGAGTACAGAGGCACCTACTATGGTTCCCCTTCCTAATTCTCGCCATCAGTCACTTTGGAGCGTGTGACACATCAACCAACCGCTTTGATTTCTGCTTAGACATCACCCCAAAGTAACACACTCACATCAATTTGGCCCCAAAAAAAAGGCGATGCGTAAAAAGCCACGCGACCTTTTCAGGGGAAGGTCTCGGGAAGCCGCTTCCCCGGTCTGAGGGGGGACTCACCACTTTAGATCCGGCCTCCTCCTCAGAGTCCGAATTGGCTTTCTCCCAGAGCTGCTTGGCGCGCTCTGTCATGGCCTGACGCAACCAACCAACCCGCCCACCTGCCACTCCCAGGGCCAAACGACCTTGTGCAGGCATTGTTTTTAAGGAAAGAAACGGCACCTCCCATCGCAGAAACAACATCGCAAAAAGGGAAGCCTGCCACTCTTGTTCATGCAAACATCTGGAACTGATCATGCTCCAGAATCCCTGGATGCTTCATTTTTAGGAGGCTTCAAAATCTGGCTGATTCTCGTTGATATGAAGCCTGCTGTGCCACTCCTCCATCCTGGGGGATCCCCGCCGGATGCCGGATCCCGCCGGAGCCGGCCGGCCCGACCTCCCGGCCTCGCGGCTGGAGTCGATGGAGCTCCGCGCCAGCGAGCGCTTGGCACCCCGCAGGTGCTGCCTCGAAGCGCGGGCTGTCGGGTCGGTGGCCGGTTTTTGCTTTTTTTCTTGCGGGGGTTGATCCAAAGGTCCCTTACGTGGAGAAAACCACAAAAACAAATGATGATAAACTCCCATCAAAGAAGACCATCGATCAACACTGAGTCCTTTCCAGCACCAACATCTCTGGTCGGTTGAGTCTTTTCCAAACCCAACCAAACCCAAGATCGCTTGAGGAGCCGACGACTCCGGGACAGGCTTGGCGAACATGGCCTTCACCAACTCCTTCGAGATGGGACTGCAAACCTGCTGATTTGGGTGTGCTTCTATGTTTTTTTTTTTGCTTTTTTGTGTTTTTTTTTTTTTTGTGTGTGTGTGTGTGTTTCTACTGGTTGATTCTTTGTTCGCTTCACCCATCCGTCTGTTCAGAAACCACCCCTTTATTACCCCTGGAAGTCGGTCCATTTTTGGAAGAGAAGGATCCCTCCACAAAGAAAAAAGGTACGGCAAAAACGTGGGTTTCGCCTCCAAACCCAGCAATTCCCTCGATAACCCGCCATCCAGAAGGGTTGGTTGGATCCCCTGGCGCGCCTTTTATCCGAATGCATCAAGAGGAGCTCGAGATCCTGTCAACTGGCTGGGTGAATCTTCCTGCAAATATGCCCCGAAAAAATCCCCTCTGGCCATATCCAGGTCCAAAAGCGCCCCACCCGGAGATACTGAGAAGGGTCTCCTACGTCGCTCCGGTCCTGCGCAGCTTGAATGTTGCTGGCGACTTCTGCACTCTGCGTCTCCGTGCACACGTCTTCCAGGGCATCATTGAGTGCCTGGGAATCACAGCCACGAGCAACGACATCTTACATGTGCCACGATCAAAACTCCTTCTGTGGACCATGGTCATGTCTTCCTTACTAGGAATAACGGGTCCATGACCGGCCCTACCAGCCCCATGCGGTGAGTGGCCCTTCAAACTTCGTGCCATGCGTGCGGAAACTTGTTGAAGTGACCGATTCAACCATCATGGGAAAGGGAGCCACGCTGGTATGAAACAAGACGCAAGACAACAAGCTTGAAAATAAACAAGCCCTCTGAATACATCCGCGCCTGAAACAACTTTTGGCCCCCACAAAAAGTTTGAAATGACCCTGACCACACGAGCAATTTGAAAACAAATATCTACCCCTGAACAAAAAAACATGTGAGCACCTGAACTGACGCAACGTCTCCCAAACGATCGCCCAAACCGCAAGCTGAGGCACGCTGAACGTGATGCGCCGGCTCTTGCGCCGCCTCGCGAACGGGAAAAGTCTGTGGAAAAGAATCAAAGGCGACTGGAAGGACGCACAACGCCTTGGATAGCTGGAGAGTCACCCAATGCCTTCTCAAGGCGCTAGGAAAACGTTGCCAGTGGAAGCCTTCAGCCTATGTCCGTGCAACTGAAACATGTTTGCAGGATCATTCCCAAACTGCAACCAGTGGAATGCCAATGTCCATTCCCCAGCTGAAACCAAGGACCTCCCTCAGCATCTCAGAAAAACCGTCGCCGACAGAGGCCTCTCTTCTGGCGTCACCGGAGTGGGCGAACGGGAGCGTGGGGTGGCGGGTGCCTTCCATGTCAAGCAAGCCAACCGAAAGATGGGGCTGCGTCATAGGGATTGGACCCACCCAAATTGGGATCGAGGGGATCTTCTTTTGGCTTCACCAATTCTGAAAAAGGGCAACCTCAACAGCACACCCAAATGGCTGTGGTTGTCAAAACCAATGGGATCCCATTTTGGGGTAGGTGCACCACCCATTTTAGTCTTTTGGTGGGGATTGGGATGTTCACTGGGGATACGGGATTTTGACCCATGGCCACCTGGGTCCATCTCAAAACAAGGTAGTGGACATCCGTTTCCCTTCCAACCGCCTAGAAAAGGGCACCTGCAACAAGCACACCCAAGTGACCTTGGTTGCAAGAAACGACACAGCGCTTGCATAGGTTCGACAACTCACGAGGTTCCCAGGAAACCTACCCAACAGTTGTTCTTTGTGCAGTTTTGCCTGGTTGACCAGGGAGTGCCGCCAAGTGGAGAAACCATTCTTATGCTCCAAACCAGTCAAGCTCGGCAGCATTCTCCAAGGTTGATTTCAAGGATAACCCTGTCCCGAGGAATTTTGAGGTAGCATTGGATCTCTGTGTCCGGGTCTCAGGAAAAGCCAAACAGAAACCATGGA